GTGCAAACATATAATTGATGGAGCGGTTGCTTGGTACACAAAACTAGAGCCAAAAATTATACAGCAACGTACAGCAAGGCGAAACCTGTAAAAAGTACAGAGACTGGCATGCATCTGCATCACAGGTGCCATGAGAACATGCAGAACAGCCGCAATGGAGGTCATCCTTGACCTAACACCACTGCACATTGTCGTCGGTAGATATGCGACAATAATTAGAATATCCAAAAAAATCCTTATGGGTTTTTCGCCACTGCACTGCAAGAAAAATCTACAAAATAAAATAGTTATTTTTTGTAAACACTTCTGGCGTTAAACCTAAACGGACGCTGCTTGTCAGAAGTTGTGTTTACAGTAATAAAAATTTGCCTAACAAAGAAAAAAATGCTTAACGTTTCGGAAAGTTTTCTCTTTCCGTCGTCGGAAGCAAAAAAATATAAAGAATCAAGAAAAAAAAAACTATTTAAAATATTTAAATTGAACTATTCGAGAACACTTTACTTTTTAAAACAGATACGTCTACAAGAAATCGTTGACGTTCTGTTAAAATGACATTATATTAAGTTAAACTTCAAAATTAACAATTACTACCTGATAATTACTTAATAAGGTAAAACCAAAAAGCCCAAATTTCTGTATGATTATTTTTAAATTTTACGTATGTTATGTTTATTTATGTAATGTTCTTTAAAATCAAAGAAGCGATTGCCATACATTACTAACATCTACAGATGCATGAGCAATACATTTATTTTTATTAGATTGAATTAAAAAAACCTCTTTTATTTTTCTTTTAGAGGCTATCGCTTCTTTCATTATAATTTTGGCGTTATTAAAATTTATTCTGTGCCCTGTGTCCCATGAATGCTGACAAATCTTAGATTTGTGAAAATCTCCCTTTCTTAAATAATCTTTATGTTCTTTAATTCTAACATTTAAGGGTCTAGATTAACGTCAACGATTTCTTGTAGACGTATATGTTTTAAAAAGTAAAGTGTTCTCGAATAGTTCAATTTAAATATTTTAAATAGTTTTTTTCTTGATTCTTTATATTTCTTTGCTTCCGACGACGGAAAGAGAAACCTTTCCGAAACGTTAAGCATTTTTTTCTTTGTTAGGCAAATTTTTATTACTGTAAACACAACTTCTGACAAGCAGCGTCCGTTTAGGTTTAACGCCAGAAGTGTTTACAAAAAATAACTATTTTATTTTGTAGATTTTTCTTGCAGTGCAGTGGCGAAAAACCCATAAGGATTTTTTTGGATAGATGAATCCGCCACATAGGTATAGACATTTTTTAATAATTAGAATGCTCATTAACGGAAACAGTACTGGAAGAATTTTCAGGTCAGGGGCTTGGAACACCCTCCAAAATAAAATTCCACTTCTCCAACTCCCGTGGATGACATACCAAAAATTTACAACTTTGGGAAACACCCCACTGCAATATTGAGCAATAAAAAGAATTGGAAAAGAGAAACGTGTCCCCAAACGTCTCTTCAACGAACAACTCAGTAGATTGAAACTTAGGAACAATGGCGAATGTACATTCTATGGGGAAAATGGGAAAACCAGAACACCTTATTACTGAGTGTGCCGAGACGACAACCGTGTGTACCATAAAATTGGTACGGCTGATGTTGGAGATGGAGAGCTGATCTTTGTAAAGCCGTCTCAGATACTGGCTTTTGTCAAAGTCCTGAGACTGTGTGATGAGTTGTTCTCTCGTTATAACTCGTTATAACTCAAGAAAGGGGAACACTCAATAAATCTGTAAGGTCGCGGTGATTAAACATTCTACATTCTACAACATATCATTGCATTTGGGAGATCATAAGCCTTCAAAAACGAAAATAAAAATTCCAGATCCCTATTTAAAAAAAAATTCTACAATGGTTAGAGGAAATTGAAAGACCGTCGATTCGATCATCAATGAAATGAATGAGTCAAAAAAAAAGCTTCTTTGAGAACGTGTTTATAGATTTAGACGTGAAAAGAAAAAAAAACAGGAAATTTTCCCGCGCCATATTTGCGGAAATTGTCAAAGATAAGTTCAATTACAAAACGGATTATTTTTCTGCGGTGTTAAGGAAAACCCCCTTATCTGATGTGCTAAACAAGTTAATGTTATTTTTGTTATTATTTGTATATTTGCAATTTTATATTATATTACAGATATAGTCAGGTGAAAATATATTTTATTATAATTCCCAAAATAGAGAAAAAAAGTATTTTCCTTCTCATTTCTATCGGAAATAGCTTATTGTTTTGGTGATACACTAGTATCTCAAATAGAGTTGAGACGTTCGCAGTACTGGGCTCATGGATGTTTCCAACCCCAATAGCCAGAGTGGAATTTGAAACATCCGGTATAAAATAATTATAGAAAAGTAAAATAGATTCTAACAATATACCGGTCTTAAGCAAGAAAATTCTAAAACTAATATTGACACATAGTACTTATCTTTTTTGAAAGTCTAACAACAAAATCTAATTCCAATTTTAGGAAATTATTAACTACACATAATACGAGGACAGTTTGAGAAGTCTTGAAGGTGACTTTTTGAATAAAAATATATATTTTTTCGGCAAAATAGTCCTTCTTTCTTACTCCAGCACTTTTCGAACTTTTAATTCCTTGATTTGCTCCAGGCCCTCAAAATAGGCATTTGTTTCAGTGATGATCTCATTATTGGACCCAAATTTCTTAAAGCCCAGCCATTTCACCAAGTTTGGATACAAAAAAATAGTCGCAGGGGACTAAATCTCAAAAGTATGATGGAGGCGATAGCAAACCTTAGCACAATTTATGAATTTTTCGTCTTGATGATTACACACGTGAGTACTCGTGTGTATTCTTTTGATTAAACAGCACTTATTATTTCGTCATATGTGGTCGTTTGGATAATATTCGCCTATGATCGTTTTATTATTTTCAAGATACCCAATGTGAATGACACCACGTGTATTCCAAAAAATTCTGGCCATGATGTTGTTAGCTGATAGACCGACCTAGACCTTCTTTGGTGCACGTTCACCCCTAAAAACCTGCTGTCTTGATTGTTCCTTGGTCTCGGGGTGGTGATGGGTCCATGTATCACCCACGGTTACAAAATGTTACATTGTTCAGATTGTGAAATTTAAAGACGGCGTCCATTCTTCTCAAACAGACCTGATTGATTTTTTTTTAGTTCAGATTGTGGCTAAACATGGTCAAAAACTCGGTCGAGTATGAACAGTCGCGGTACCCATACAAAATGTGATATACATACTTTGAGACCTACAACCTCATCCACCTCACTCATTTCCATTCTCCGATCACAGAGTACCATTCCGTGGCTTTTATCCTCTAGCTCGAAAAGGAGCGAATACTCCACTAACTGGACGAGAACCGTTCTGTTTCCCCAGTGGAAATCAATCCAAAGCAGAACTCAAGAACCTGGAAAACTCCATCCGTAACGTGGAATGGGAATCCTCTAACGGTCTAAGACACTCAAAGACATTTTTAAGAACTTACCGCCGAAAAAAATCAGTTTTTCCTTGATTTAAGTAAGAACAATCTTCGGACTGTCAAGGAGTTTTTAACAAGACACTGTCTCCTCAATAAACACCTCAGTAGAATGAAGCTAAGAAACAACGGCGAAGGCATATTCTGTGTGAAAAATGAGGAAACATCAGAAATCACTGCGTGCGCCGAGACAACTATTCGTGCCATAAACTTTGGTACAGCTCATATTGCAGATGGAGAACTAACCTCTGTAAAACCATCTCAGATACTGGCTTTTGTACCTGAGACTGTATGATGAGTCGTAACTCAAGAAAAATTCGGACATAATAGATCTGTAAGGTTGCGGTGATTAACTTCTCAAATGTCAATGTAAAAGACCATACCGTAACGTGGTATACTTATGCTTCCAAAACCAAAAGAAACAAGGGACAAGGCTAGGAGTATTTAGGCCGAAAACTAAATACTCCGAATCAATGGGCACCTACCCTAACATCCTTCAGGCAGAAATCTATGCTATCGAAAGATGCATACAATTTATATAGATAGGAACTATCGAAAACAGGAAATAGCCCACTTATCCGATAGTCAAGCAGCACTAAACGCGACCAATTCAGTAACCATCAATTCAAAGTTGATCAAAGAATACCTAGAGAAGCTGAACAAATTAGGCAAAGAAAACAAATCAAAGTCCTCTTACTCTAGGTGCCCGCTCACCAAGGGATAGTAGGCAATGAAAAAGCAAATGATCTAGCCATAAAAGAAGCGAACACTTCACTAACTGGACCAGAACCGTTCTGTTTTTCAAGCGGACACCAATTAAAGGCGGAACTGAGGAACCTGAAAGACTCCATCTGTAACATGGAATCGGAGTCCTCCAACGGTCTAAGATACTCGAAAAAGTTAATCAGATCATACGACCAAGAAAAATCAAAGATTTTCCTTAATTTAAGTAAAAACTATCTTCGGATTGTCACGTGGTTTGGAGACACTGATGTCTCCTCAACGAACACCTCAGTAGGCTAACGCTGAGGTACAACGGCGAATGCAGATTCTGTGGGGAAAGTGGGAAAACACCAGAAATCTTTATGACTGAGTGCGCTGATACGACGACCGTCTTCCCGAGGATGTCTCCATTCAGTGGCTGTCAGACACAAACTAAATGACGCAGGTTCGGTCTATTAACAGATGACAGTTGACGGGAGCAGTGTTACATTTAAAGCTTCTGCTCGGGAAAATCAAAAATCACTGACTTCTCAAAGTGCCCTCGTATATTTTGTTGATTATTTACGTTTCACGTTTTTTCAATACACTTTTGAATATTAAATATGTAGAAAACATAAGTTTTCCTCGTTTCGACAATTATTGACATAGTATATGCATATGGCTAGGTCTTAAACATAATACCTTAGAGTGGACTAAAGTTTCTCCTGTGAATAAATATTAGACGAATACGTAAAGCTAAACGCTTGCATCTTTTTACTATTCTACTTACATAAAATCTTCAATGTCACCCACCTCCACGAACTGACACACATTATAACACCCGTTGGAATAGTAACTATAACATTGCCCGTAATCGTAATCATTGTTAGCTTGGCACGGTAGCGCTAATTTCGCCAACAAACCATCAGGACGTACTTTACAAGCAGCTTTCGACTTAGCGCTATCAACATCTTCAATATCAGCTTGCCCACAGCCTGTTCCAACAGCTGATACAGCCGTCGGTAGTGGTTTGGTACAGTTTGCGTCAGTACTACTGACTTTCCCTTGGGTCGAAGGGTGCTGTTGATTGTCCACGAACTGTCCAAGAAGGACGTACTGACTGTCGCGACCGCCATCTTCAAAATCTAGCACGCACATGGTTTCTGCGCGGGCGACACATCGAAACCTTCCAATGAGACTACGCTATTTTCAACTTGTTAAGACGCTACTGTCAACCGAATTTGCCTTAGAGATTACAAATTCTGCCTTTATCTTATCTGAAAAGCTTGTTTATAGACGATTTTGTCTGATTTAATTAATGATGATTATACAGAGTGGTTCGCATAAAACGCTATTTCGTACATAGACTTGAAACATTTTTTTACAAAGATGTAATTCACCTGAATTTTAATTTTTAGTCTACTAAGTACCAAAGCATCAAACTGCATATCATTTGTGAAAAAATAGAGGCTTACAAAAAATAATATTTATGTCTATTTCCATATTTATGGGCTAATTTTATTATTAAAAAATAAAGATATTTTATGTTGTCACATACATCATGTACATCATTTACAGCTTATTCAACCATTTCCAATTATGGTGTAGCCTCCCTCACATATTTAGATACACTCGTTCTAGCTGGGCTCATTGTTGTCTATTGTTGGCTATGCAGGCCCAAGTTATCCCTGCTAATCATGATCCCATCTCAGTTCCGGTCTTACTCTAGGTCTCTAATTCATCGTGGTTACCATGCATGCTGTAATTTTTGTGGTCCATCTGTTGTCCGTCCTTCTTGCCAGGTGACAGGCCTCCTTGCAATGTCCGCCCATTGCCAATTGAGGGATTTGATTCTGTGGATGACATCTATTACCTGGGTCTTTTGTAGTATCCACTCTATTCTTTTACTCTCGTCTCTCTTGGTTATTCCCAGCATATTTCTTTCCATTGAGCGTTGTGCGACCTGCAGTTTCCTTATGATGTCCAGGTTTCGCATGCGTAGGCCATGACTGGTAGTACACATTGGTCGAATGTTGTCTTCTTTAGATAAAGTGGTATTCTAGATTTGAATATGATTGAATTGTTTATGTTGTCTATACTCTGTTTTTTTTCTCAGGTAAGATTTCGACAGACGATGACAGAAGAAAAGCAGATGACGTCCCATACCAATCTATTTATTTTACTAAAAAAAGTTTCTAATAATTTTTAAGTTATCTATGGATGGGTTTAAATATAAATCCGTCATGCGTCGTGTCTTGTTGTTTTTAACCAGTTTTATTGGTTTATTTAAAAAATGACAGATCGTATTTCAATTTTATTGGTTTGACGGAACGATGAACGACAAACGGACACCGATGCGTATGAACTCGCCTTTAGATTTTTGTCATTTTTGACGCTTGTCAAAGTCTTGCCAAATTATAGGTTATAATTTTCTGTCAACTTTTGTTAAATACCCTGCGTTTTGGAAGATGATGCATTTTGATTCGTATTATTACGTGTGTTTTGTGTCTTTTGAAGTCAAGTGGAGGAAAAATCGAGTGAAAATTAACTGTAGACCCAGAGCACATTTTATGGTTAATTCTCGCTGTCCAGGCAGAAAGTCTTATACACCAATGAAGCTGCCATCGATAAAGTTTGTATACCATTTCGTCGTAGATAAGTGCATCTCGTATATGGTAGAAGGATCAAACTAAACATATACTAAAAACTCGAGTAGCTGTAAAATATCGACATCACACGAGAGGTAAATAATGGATTTTAGTACTGCAGAAAAATAATGTCAAAAGGTCCTGGTTTAAAAAAATTAAGATTAAAGTTAATTAATCAACCTTTAAGGTATAAAATTTGGTAGGTGTTATTATTATTAAAATAGTTTGTTTTATTTACCTATGTTGTTTTATTTATTCCTGTGGAATATTACAAATTTCTATTTGTACATAAGTTATATTGATAAATATAATCATAAATGCGGGTAGTTTCATAAAGCTTGAAAGTAAATAATAGTTCTTTTTTATATTTTTTTGGTATGTAGTGTCTTGTTCTTGTTTGTTTTGTATTAACACATACCGTTTTTATTAAATAAAATAACTCGATTACATTTTTTTCAGTTTTATACAGTTTTTTTCACAATATTTTGAAGTAATCACTTGTCATCTTGTCAATCAAATTTTAAATATATCCTGCTATGCGTTCCAGTTGTACCAACTTATTTCTTTGTAAAATAAAATAAACTACTTTGAAATTAAAATGACAGACACATCTATCACTGTCAAGGATCTTCTCGTTGGACAGACTATATAGTCAATATAATCTACAAAATTTACATGTATAGGACTATCTACTAGACTCATGACCCCAGATGTGAATTCAACACTAATATGGGTTTATGTGTGTGTTTTATACATTGGGAAAACGTGCAATGTCACGAGGATATCAAGGATAACGAAAAGGCAAATGGACTGGCCAAACAAACTCGTCACTGCTATTCATAGGACTAAAACATTTGAATGTTGGTGAACTTGGTGTTGCAAAAGCAAATATAAAAACTGTAATGGGTAAACTAACAGCAAGCTTAGTAGGCGTCTAAAGTTGATGGGACGAACCAATGAATCGATTTTGTCTATCAGAAGAACAGCAGAAGACACTTCATGTCAGTGGTATAACCTGACAAATGTGCGGTTCTTTTTATTAGTCAAAAAACTGTATAGGGTGTTCAATTATTCAATTATTTCAGTATTAGGCAGTGATAAGCCATTCTTCGAGGTGGCGCTAACCTGTTCCACTGCGACCTTTTTCAGATCTATTGTGATCAAAAGTGATAAGCCATTGGCAATTATAGCTCATGGAGGGTTCAACCTCTAAGTTACAAAGTTGAAAAATACATTAATATAAAGAAACTATGCTGCAAAGTACCTTAATTACAGATAAAGATTACCTAGGTATTTGACATTGAATATTAATACATACAGTTTCAGACATTTGACATTATAACTGGTAGTTATAACTGATAGTTCAGAAACACGTCTACCTATGAGGTTTTTTCGCGAACAAATTTTTTTGAAAATTCGAAATTTTTTGAAAAACTTTTTGGATTTTTTTTTTTAGTTTTTAGTTAAAAAACATAATTTCTTGATAATATGCCAACATAGTTATTAGATTAACTTTACAAGAAAGAAAATCCAGTGGTTCTCAAAATTTTAGCAAAACATTTTTTTTGGAAACTTTCAAAGTAAAATATCTCCGTTATTTTGGATTTATTTGAAAAACGATAAAGAGAAAATATGTTTCTTTTATCAAAGAGCTACCACCCCTTAAAATACTTGCACTTATTTCTGGGACATCCTGTATGTATATGTTACGGTTAAAGTCCGATGTCCGGTTAATGTCGACATTAACATGTTAATGTTTGGGTTAGGTTATGATTTTAGTTGTTTTGTTGTGTGTTATTCTCGAGATTAACCGGGTAATGTCGACATTAGCCGGACATCGGACCTTAACCGTAACATATATACAATTACTGGTTAGTATGAGCTCTGCATGCAAAATTATAGGCTCTCAATTGTAATTTAACACTCTTTGTAACTTAACACAATTGTAACTTAACACTTTTTGTGTTCTAATAATTGTTTTGTTTTCTTGCTATCTGCCACTGGCCACAGTCTTCGAGTCCTCACGGTGTTGCTACGTCTCTTGCTGCTTGGCCTTCATGGTAGTTCCTATAATTTCTTTCAGTGTATTGATCGATACAAGTGGTGGATCATCTGCCAGGGTCTCTTTCCTGGTCTTCTCTTTGACGAGTCTGTCCGCTTCCTGGTTGCCCACCACGTTGATGTGGCCTGGCACCCAGCACAGAGCAGGGTTGCCACAAGCTACATAATTGTATACTTTGCTACACATTTGCTTCAATGATTAACTAAGCTACACATTTTGAAAATTTATATATTTCGTATAAAATACAATAGCAGAACAGTAAATTAGCTAACAAAAGCTGATTTTTTTGCTTTTAAGTTATCTAAGTTAGTACATCAAAAGAGACCGCAAGTGTACTTTAAATTTTGAACTGACAAATATCGTTTTCCGTCATCAGTGTTCAGGTGTTCAAATTCACGTGTGTTCAGGTGTTCAAATTCATCAAATTTGACGAACGTTAAGTCTTATTGGATAGTTTACAGTTATTGGTCATGGATGGCTACACAATACTAAACATTTTTATGGTCAAGTTCTGCACAATCAAAAAATTTCCTTGTAGCAACCCTGGCACAGAGTGGCCCCGCCTTGACGCAGCAAGGATATAGTATGTATTACTTAATAACATTTTGATGTTTTATTTTTGTTAGAACACTAATCCTTTACTAAACAAAAAGTTTCCATATATTTATTTAGTATTTCCAGATGTTATATACTACTATTCTTTTCACCAACTATTTCTAATTGAAAAACCAACACAATAATTCAAAGATAACATATGTACAACATTTTAATTCATTAATAAAAGGTTTTTAAAAATGTAAATATAGCATGATAAGATAAGACTCTGATATGATCGCCAATTAAGTATATTACAGCTCAACGATATCTTGAAGCTCTTCATCGAGTCTTCACTTCAACTTTCTTCAATATATTACATTATTTTAGTATATCTATAAAACGTATCTCTAAAAATATGTGGAGATATCGTTTATTGTCATCGCCTAAAAGGTTTACAAGTACATAAAGACGCGTCAAACCTTAGATTGAAACCAGAGATAAAAGGTACGGAATTAGAAATTTGTTTCCGGAGATTTTCAATCCAGTGCCGACTTCTATAAAATATATACAGCCATTTTTTAGTTACAGGGTGGACCAAATTGGACACTTTTAATGGGACAGAAAACATAAGGTAAAAACCGTACATCGATATCAGTTACCTTTTCGAAGATGGGGGTTACAAATTGTGCATTTTTAACAACTCGCTGTAACTTTTTTGCTACGGAAAATGATATATTTTTATGAAAACATTTCCAAAGCACATTTTTACGTAGAATTTAATGGTTTATAATATAATAAAGTGGCATTCTAGATTTGAATATGATTGAGTTTCTTACATATGTATTCCATGCTAACTTAAGCCCGTATTTATAGTTGCGTCTCGAGACGCCAAGACGGTCTTGGGCTCTCGAGAGCGGAATCCACAGAATACACGAGCAAACGTCATTTTGGAGATTGCGATTTTCATTTTGGAGATTGTC